TTAAGATTAGCATGGCCCCTGCACAAGTGATTCTGAGCAACGTGTGTTTAGGGCATCATACCCTGCCGTGCACGGACGGCCTCGAAAGGCACCCTCCGCCACAGGAACGAAGTATCGTAACCACTACAACCCTTGGAGGTGTTATAAAAACTGGATCCATACCGGTCGTGATATCCAGCCCACCTCCAGGGCTGCAGCGTCCTTGGATGACACACATAAATCGAGAAATGATCCAAATTTAAAAAAAAAAAAAAGGAGCTGAAAGGATGAGCGTGACTTGCCACAAATATAAGCCTGATTCGCACCGTAGATGCAGGATCCCAAGGGCAGGCCGCGCTCGGTAAATCAAAAGGAGCACAATTATGGTTCAATTTTGTCATTACTGTTAGAATCACACCGAGTGCGAGCACACTCACGTTCATTCGCACTGGGTAGCATCGACGATCAATTAGTCACACCAGACTTGATTGGAACACCAGAAACCAGTCTCCCATGCATGGTTTCCCATACCGCGTGAGTAGGTTGTAGTCAGTTTGCTGGTCAGCCATTTGCATATCGCCCATGTGGTTTACGCTCGTGCGGCGATTTGCAATTTGGGCAAATCATGTTCTAATCCCTGGATGTTTGAGGCCACATCCTCAGCAGGGACTGCCTCTGGAATCGTTGAGTACCCTCGACAGGGACTGTACACGCGGTCTCACGGCGCAGACAACCACAACAGGGGGCATAGGAGTGGATAATTGCCTTTTGGAACATAGTAAACCGCAACAACCTGTGGAGCAGGCACAAAGAGAATCGGCGCAGACAAAAAAACAGGCTGCTGATCCCCGGACGAGTGACTGTGATACACAATAAGAGGAATAGTGGTGTGGCAAACCGGAGATGACCGTATTTGACAAATCTGTTCGTGAGCGAGGCGAGGAGGCGAGAAGGCAAGGAGGAACGAAGCCGTCTGCGGCCAAGCATTGCCTCTCATGGCCCTGATTGCGCAACGGTTCGAAATGAGGGACATGACTGTCAGAGATACTGTGATGTTTTGCACTGGAACTGTGGCAGAGGAAGCTGTAGCAGCGACAACTACAGTAGGGGGAATTCACGATTCGTTTCCGCTAAACAAGAAATAAAAAACAGAATCAATAAAGGAAACCTGGAAACTGCTGCAGTGAAAACTGCATGTTCAAATCTGGTAGACTGCCCAGTGAAGACACCAGTCGGTCGCTGGGAAGGGATATTGGAGGTCGCACTTGGACAACGAATAACGGGGATTGCCCACACGCCAACGTCTCTTGTGATGGGTTCTCTCGGTGCTCTCTCTCTGCTCTCTCTTGCCATTCTCCTTCCATGCGTGCCTTGTTGCTGTCTTCTTCCGTTGTTCCCCTGGTTGCCCTGCTATACCCAGACAGTAGCCGGTATGTGTCCTTGAAACCTCTCAACCTGTTGCCACGTCTGAGTTTTGCCAGTCTTTCCACCTCAGACTGAGCTCATTTAGACCTGCGACTTTGCCTCCTGCCAGCCAATTGTGCTTGAACTTCGCAAGCACCTCCCGTTTTGGTTCCGGATTGTTCTGCACCCAGATTTTGACCCTCTTCCATTGGCACAGAATCTCAGCCTCGATCATACCTTTGGTGGGCGGCCAGACCTTTTCCTGTGGAGTCTTGGATCCAGAATCTCAGCCTCGATCATACCTTTGGTGGGCGGCCAGACCTTTTCCTGTGGAGTCGTGGATCCCTCCAGCGTTCTGCTGCATCTCTCTTGCCAAATTGCCGATAGCGTGACCTTGCGTATCATCCCAAACCATATCCTTGCAGATTTGCTCAGGTTAGGGGGTAGGTTAGTCCAGAGGAGGAGTTGAAGGGGGTGTTCGGGAAGAGGAGACAAGAAAAGGCTATCCCAAAGGTCAGATGCCCTATCCCAATATTATGTGGCTTCATTGCATTTAATTAAGCAGAGTAGTATATCTTCTTGTTCCTGATCTGAGCAGGCCCTACAGATATCAGAGCAGTTTGGATCGTTTCTGCTTCTTCTGGCGTGCAACCACTGATTGACAGGCAGGGCAGTATATGCTATAAGCCACTGCATGCTTCTGATTTTGATTGGTTTTATGGTTTTATTATTTTATATTTTTTTTCCATGGGATCTGAGATATAAGTTCTGATTCAGTGCCGATTAACTTTCGCCATCAGTCCTTGATTGATGGTTCCGGGTCCTTTGTCTTCAATAACATCCTGTAGCCGTATATTCCAAAATTGGAATTGGAGATTTTGCTGGTCTTGTCCCTTTGTGGCAGCCAAGCCCATTCATGCGGGTCGAATTCTAGGTCCCGGAACGATACTTCAATTTGGAAGATCTGTTTTGGCCAGATTCCTAGTACTCTCACCTTGCGAAGTGTAAAAGCCTGGAGCGTTGCTGTTTGTGGGTCGATGTTGTTGACGACAGGTTCATCCGGTTTCGTCCACTGGATAGGGAAGGATGTGAAGATGGACATCGACCCCATTCTTGATTGTCGATGGGAAAATTGGTATGCTCTCATTGGGGTGTTCTCCTGGATTAGGATTCCCCATTCCCCTGATTTCCAGGTGAAGTCCTCATTGAGTAGATCTTTCCAGCTATCCGGGATGCTCCGTATGATCTTCTGTAGGTTTTCATCTCCGAGGTGACAGCCTTTTAGTCTGTGTTCAATTTCATCTTCATCCAACCAGTCTCTCCTTTCCCCGTTCCATATATCTCTCACTCTCCAGATCCCATTTTCGATCCACGTTAGCCATTTATCTCCCGTCTGAGACAGCGTCCAGGGGTGGTTCCCTTCGTCTTTCACCCATGGGTTTCCAAAGAGCGGTTGTCTCAGTACTTCTTCCTTTGATCTGGGTCTGTTTATCTTTCCTGGCATAATTTCCCTCCAGATTCGTAACAGGGCTGTCCAGTAGGGCAGCGATCCTTGTTCCTGTCTTGGAATTCCTCCTCTCCTCCACCTCCTCCTACCTGTTTTAGTACTACTCCAATCTTTATTCATCACCCAGAACTGTCCTGACATATTGGGGGGGGATGTTGTTGGCTCCAGGCTCCTGATGCTATCAAGCGCCAGCTTGTTCCATGCCAGCGAATGTCTGGTCAGGAGTTTGACTATCCATTTGGTTTGGAGAGCTCTTGTTTCCTGTCTGGGGTCTATTATCCCGAAGCCACCCTGAGCCGGTTGCCTTGTGATGTAGTGCCATGCAATCTTTGGTATGTAGTTCTCTCTGTTAGGGTCCCCTGACCATAGGTAAGCTCTAGTTTTTCGGTTTAGCTCTTTGATTGTCTGGTCAGGTATGGTCCAG